GCCTGATCCGGTACTAAGGTCCTCCCAGGAGAACAGTGCCTCCATAATCTGGATGTCAGGTGATGTCTAGTCTTTTATCTAGACAGGACTAAACCGTGCTTCACCTCACCTGTTTATGTCATATGCAGACTGCATGAAGGGGCAAGTGGTCTCAGCACAGACCATCTCTAGATGGGTAACATCCTGTACCAAGTCTGTGTATAAGATAACTTCAGCTACACCTTCTCAACGGATATGGCTCACTCCACAAGAGCACAAGTGATATCGATGGCATTCCTCAGTGATGTGTCCATACTGGACATTTGCAGGGCTGCCATGTGGTCATCTATTCATACATTTACAGACCATTATGCTATTACTGCATCTTTAAAAGTGGACGCAGCCTCGGAAGGGCAGTCCTGTGATCTCTATTGCGTAGACTCCAAGCCCTGCCTCTAGACTGGGGCACTGCTTGTGAGTCACCTAAGTGGAATACATGTCTGCATCTATTCAAAGAAGAAACGGTTACTTACAGTAAGTGTGGTTCTTCAAAATGTGACCCACCCTTCGTCCCCTCTGTACTGGAGTCTCCTCTCATGGGCTTTCGGTGCCAAGGAACTATAGGGGGGGTCAGGGCAGTGCCACCTCATATCGCCAGGAGGTGCGATCGCTGTCTTCTACGCAGCCTGCTAAGCTAGGCAAAAGTCTGCAGCTTCAGCGCACTCGGTGCACGCACATCTAAGCGGAATACTTGTCTGCATCACATCTCGAAGAACCACAGTGACAGCAAGCAACCATTTATTTTCTCATTAAAGTGGGTCCCCCCCGCCCCCGGGCCCTAGTAGCCTTAGAACCAAGCAGCATGGAGCTAAGGATTAGCAACAGGATATGCACAATATTCCCTGGATGCTACTCTCTGGGAAGAGTAAAGCCTAGTCTCCACTAGAAACGGTTTCCCAGGATAGTTATATTGGTAAACCCTCTAGTTTACATTGGCACAAAGTGCTTCTGATGATAGAGCTTAGTTCCCTGAGTGAAATAAGCTATCCCAGCAAAAGCACTTTTATGCTGCACCTACACTAGGGCTTTTACAAGTATAGGACCGTCACCCGCAAAAAAGTCACCCTTCTACTCAATCTTACTCTACTAGAAAACATTTCTACTGTAGACCTGGCCTAAGAGAAAAGGGAATTGCATTGAATCTTACCCCACTGATCATGAGCCACCTCTGCCTGTGGGGGCTTGTTTCACAAGGACCTCTCAGAAACACAAGTATAAAAAAACCTTCATTCGTTTGGATCTGCAGGAACATTCTTTGTGTAAACAGGTGGCCCTTACAGTTGGGAATTTTCCATTAACATGATCTTGACTGATGTACTTAAGTCATGCTAAATTACTCTGATAGCTGATCCCAACGCAGCCCAAGCCAGGAGTGAAATATCGGATTAGGACACTAGCTGGGGCATGCTGGCACAAGCAGCTCTGTGAAGGCATCAGGCTGTAAAATTGGGTCCCTGTGTGTATCACTATTTATATTTTGTTATTTGCTCAGAACCATCCAGGATTAGCGACTACTAGAAACAGAATACTGAACTAGATGGGCCATTGGTCTGCTCCACTGGGGTTATTCCTGTGCTCCCACAGAAATCACTGGAATCTCTGTTTCAGAGACCAGGTTTCCAGCCTGGCTTTATCTCTCAAGTGGAATAAATCTGCCACTCTCCACTTGTTCCCTGAGGGGAGCTTCCATGTGAAGAAGCAGCAGTGAATGCAGAGCCCTGGGTTGGTTAAAGATGTGTTGAAAGATCTGTCTCTCTTCCCTACTTCCATCCCTTATAAGCAGGGCCGGCTCTAGCTTTTTTGCCGCCCCAAGCCAAAAAAAAAAGGGGTGCCGGACCGCCGAAGCAAAAAAACCAACCAACCAAACAAAAAAACGGCAGCCGCAGGGAGCGCGTGGAGGGCGGCCAAGGCGGCTCGCATGGGGGTGAAGGGCGGCGCCAGCCCGCTCCCTCCGCTCGTGGGCAGCCAGGTTCTGCAGCCCACTCACAGCCGGGCAAGAGGGGTTCCCCCCTCCCGCCTTGGGGTGTCTCTCCCGGCTGGGCAGGCGGAGCCCCCGCGGGCTGCAGGAGGTGCTGGCTCAGCCGCTCCTTTAAAGTTGGCTTGGCCGGGCCAGGCTCAGAGCGGCGGGGGATCAGAGGCCAGTGCAGGTGGCAGGGAGTGGCGCATCCCAGGGAGCCCGGAGGCATGGTGAGCGGCGGGGATTGCTAGTTTCTGCGCCTCCGGGCGGGGTCCGTGCCCCTGCAGGGCTGGGCTGGGAGCAGAGCGCGGGGAGCCGGCCGGAAGTCCGGGGAGGCTGTCAAAGCAAAAAAAAAAAACCACGACAGGGCGGCCGGAATGTGCCGCCCTAAGATTGGCTGGAATGCCGCCCCTTACAATGTGCCGCCCCAGGCACGTGCTTTCTCGTCTGGTGCCTGGAGCCGGCCCTGCTTATAAGAAGTTCCCTTCACTGCTGGACAGATGTAGAGTTTTTTTCCTAGCATAAGAGGTTTGAAGGGAGTAGGGACAGGATTTCAAATATAAAAAGCCTGTGACCATCATATGAGCTGCTGACCTTTCCGTAGAAGAGACCACAGATTCCAGCACTTGAGTTTACCGCTATATTTATAATTTATGACAATGTTTGCAATTCCTATAAACCACATTCACCATTGTCCTATGGCCCCTTGGCCAGTATCTTTTTTTTAGAGCAACACAGATAAATCCCTCACACCCTCCTGAATATTTAACATTATGTGAGAAATACCACAACCTAAAAAACCCCTAGGCCCTCTTCATTCACACACCATACTGGTTGCTTATCTTTGCCAGAAGATGAGCAGTTCTTGCATAATCCCAGGAGATACACGGAGTGTTTACCCTTCATGGACAATTCTTTCCACCCGATCCAAACACACATGGGAATTCAGAGCCAGTGCCCTCTCCATTTTAAATGCATTAGTTCAGTGTACTCCTGGGACACATGGCCAGAAAGGGTTAAGCAGCTCGCAGGCTGAATGACCCAGATTCAATCTTTAGAGACATGTTAGAAAACTATGTAAATGGTAATTGGGGTCATTTCATGTTAGATGGGCTAGAATTTTGAAATGCAATCCTGTATTGTTAGAGAATTAGAGGTGATCCTAACCGCATGTGTTTACTTATATCTTGTTACATGTTAGCCATGTAAACAGACAGTTCCTGTCTATTACTATAGCTACTGATTCAGAGATAAAAAGGAAATATTAACATTTAGATGAAATATGAGAGAAATAATGTAATTGTCTGAATGTTTCTTTAAAGTTTGTGGTAAGCTGTATATGAACTACTTAATGGGTAAATTACCTTATGTTAATCCATGTAGTTAATTACTGGTGATATTTGGGAAACAGAAGGTTAATCAAAGACCTATTTTTCACCCAGGACTGTATGGTCAAGAGGCTGCCAGAAAACTGTATAAAAACCTCTTGGGACCTGATCCTTTCATCTCAGATCTGCTTGAGGCTTTATGCAGGGGAAGCTTGACTGAGATCTCCAGTCCCATCTGGATCACCCTGAATATGAACATTGGACTAGATTGTCTGCCCCAGTCTTTGCAGTTTGCCCTAATTAAGTAATCTCAGTGTGGCTCCCCTGGGACCCCGGTGACAAATTTGTCAGCAAGTTGGAGTCTATAAGTCACACGTATACTCCCAAAGGCCTCAGTCTGCTGCTTAAGCTTTTAAATTCCCAACAAAAGCAACATTTATTTAACAACAGCAACACTGTGTGATAAAACACTATTTAATTACTACAAACACTTCTAGAGCTTTATAGTAATGCCACAGATACAAAATGGTGAGACCTCAGCGTGTAGTAATGCACTCTCTCTAGCATAACTTGACACAAGTTAATAAACTCAGGCAAATTCAAAGCTTTAAAATGTGATTTCAAATGAGATCAATGAGAGGTGCCCGCATCCAGGCCTAAGAATGAAAATAATAATATTTGTACATTAAATAGTCAGAGTGTTCCTGATATCAAGGACTCATCTTGTGGATCCCATTGAAGTCTGGTTAGAACACATGCAAAGTCCACTCTTGACTCATGAAAAGTCACTACTCAAGCTCATTAACTGGAATAAGTCATTCACAATCCAGCCCAATGCTGATGAAGGTACTTTACTAACCTGGGCTGTGGCAGCAGAGGGAGAGGGGGTGCGGGTGGAATCCTGTCTGCTCTTGGTTAGGCAAATGGCTAGCTGTGGTTTCTGCTAAACTCTATTCATTTTATATTCATTTGCTTCATCCTTCCAACCCACCCCAAACATTTGTCTGTTGCATCGTATCTCACATGTTGTGAGCCCTCCGGGGTAGGAACTGTCTTCTTTTTTCATGTCTGTACACCACGTAGCACAATGACTAGAGGTGCTAGGTGCTACAATAATACAAATAATAATCATGTTGTCAGAGCTAAGTAGGAAGCAATTCCTTTTAACAATCTGCAAGAGGATCATGCATCTTCCTGTCAAAGTAGAGCATGTTTTAATGTTTAATCCGTTGTTTTGTTAACACACATTAACTATGTTATGAAACCTAGACTAGATGGCCCTGAAAATATGCAGTGTTTAATGACCCCGAGTGCTTTACGTACTCCTTTTACTGACTGATGAAAACATATATGGTAGTGACTTTACTCACATGAAATGCAACCATCTCTGTGGTCAAATACAGCATCTGTCCAAAAGCACTTCTTACTATTTCTCAACTGAAAGGTGACATTTCAAGAAGCTCAATGCCCCTCTCTCCCAACACTACATAAGGGCACTGGGCTGATGTTGAGGGAAGGTTGTCACGTACCGTATCAATAACACCATTTCTTGCAGCATCTGGGCTTTTCCTTAGGCCTCGCATCCACGTACAAACCCAGCCTAGCTTATGAGTGCTGCAGCTGATGAAATCATAGTATTAGATGGTCTAGTTTGAATTTTGGCAACCTTTTCATACCTTGGCAACTGCCAATATCCTGTTCTGTTACTGATGATGATGGTGTGGGTTGAGACACTCGGCAAACACAGCTCTTTTAAAGGAACCTTTCCTGTAACTAGGGTAGGTTTTGTGGTTCCATTGATCCTCGATTTCCATCAGAGGCTGCAATTCCCACAGTCTCTCGTAGATGAAAGAATGCCCCAACACACTAGACTCCTGCCCAATTACACATTTTTCTCTCTACAATTGGACTTGTAGCACCAGTTGCAAGGAAGGCAGCAGAATTCAAAGGACAGGCGCCATCCAGAGCTTCAAAGCAGCACCACTAATATGAGGTCTCTGCTCTATTCTCAGCAGCACCAGACAGTAAGCATTGACCCTTGGAGCGTTCCCGGCAGCAAGAGCAGCAACTGATGAGCAAAGGTCTGTTAACAGGGAGAGACTGTTTAGAGTTTAACAATCCCTTCGGGGGGAGCAGCAAAGGAGAATAAATAAGAGCTTGGCTCCACTCCACGTCCACATTTCATTCCAGTCTGTTACAGCAGCCCCAGCCAGAGGAGCTCTTGCAGAGGAATCCAGAGGGATTTCTTATGATGGATTCAGGAGATCGCAGTGGAGAACAATCACAAACAAAAGATCAAGCCAGCGTCTTCCTCACAGTGCCAGATGGTTGTTCCCAGCAGGGGTCTTACAACCCTGGCTGGCTATGCGGTGCCTTAAGGCCCTGTGTAATTGCATTTAAAAAAAAATTCACAGCAGTGTCCCAGTTATGGGTTTTATTTTCGTGGGATATGTAATGATGCTGGCTTTGGTGGGATACTTCCGAGAGTGTCAATTCAGGACAAATTGCTTAAAGCTGGGCAGTTACAGCCCAAGGCTGGGGTTCCTTTGCACGCCAAGGCAAACCAAACCAGCCAAACAGAGAAGACTTTGGTCTCACCCCACTGGCTAACCATAAGTCATACAGGCAATTCCCATAGACACTCCAGTTTACCAGTATCACCACCAGTGCCACTCATTATGGGGACAAATGGTTATGAAAACCAATACCCCAGTAAAAGAAAAAAGGTTCTCTCAATACCAAAGGACCAAGCCCCAGATCCAGGTCAATATACAAGTTAGATCTTACCCACAGATCACGCTGTTGCCAGTCCTTTAGAATCTAAAATCTAAAGGTTTATTCATAAAAGGAAAAATATATGGATGAGAGCTAGAATTGGTTAAATGGAATCAATTACATACAGTCATGGCAAAGTTCTTGGTTCAGGCTTGTAGCAGTGATGGAATAAACTGCAGGTTCATTTAAGTCTCTGGAATACATCCACAGTTGGGATGGGTCATTCAGTCCTTTGTTCAGAGCTTCAGTTTGTAGCAAAGTCCCTCCAGAGGTCAGAAGCAGGATTGAAGACAAGATGGAGGAGCTGCAGGAGCTTTTTATAGTCTCTTCTCATGTTGCCTTTCTTTCTTTGTTCCAAAGACAAACTATCCAGCACATGGCATGGAAAAACCTCGAGTCCTGTCCATAGGCATGTCCCTGCATGCCTTGCTGAGTCACAAGGTGTATCTGCCTTCTCTCAATGGGTCAATTATATAGCTGATGGTCTTTAATGGGCCATCAAGCAGGCTAGGCAGTGCTGATGCCAGATTGTCTGGGGTGTCACAGAAGCATAGCATAAGTTTGAAATACGGACAGTAGAGAATCAATACTTACAACTTTAAATACAAAAATGATACATGCATACAGATAGCATAATCATAATCAGCAAACCATAACCTTGTCTTAGACACCTTATTTGACCCCCTTTATGCAAAATTTGGTGCCACTACAGGACCTTGCTTGCAACAATGACCTATACGGTCCCAGTTCATATTAATAATGTCACAGGATATGAACGGCCACCAAGGCCCCTCCCCCCCAAACTGCCACAATATTCCCAGCAGTGGGGAGGTGAAGCCAGGCATCCCTGCTGAACCCATGGCTGCATTTGTAACCTTTCCCATCAGTTGCTTTTATACCTGCAAGGACCTGTATGGTGCACAGCAGAGGAGGCAATCTCATTCTGCACCAGAGGCTAATTGTGTGCATGGAGGTCAGGTTAAACGTTGGGCATAGGCCTCCACATACACAGGGTGAGGTTCAAGCACAGGCTAAAAAAGGTCTGGGCAGATAAGGACCAATTTTAAGGAGCCAAGGATTAAATGTAAACACCTATAATTAAAAACGAAGTGTTTAGATGTGTAGGCTTTGCTGCTGCTGCTGCTGCTGCTAGGTAGGGCTAGCCTGGTGGCCTCACACATCAGTCCTGCTTATCCATTTCTACCTCACACAGAGATGATCGGAGCCATGCTGCTGCTTTCGCTACTGTCCCTGCCCCTTCCCTGGGACTTTCTTTTTTTCTATTTTTACTAAAATTGTAAATGTTCCCGTTTTTTGCCACGTCAAACAATCGGGCCTAGTTATGATGCAGGAGGCTATAAAGCTTCTAGAGCCTCCTGCCTAAAGCCAGTTAACGAACAACTCCTGCAATAGTAGCGGCGACTGGGTAAATTCTGGGAATGTGAAGGCATTAAACACTCTTGGGAGGTATTTCTTATTCTTCATGCAAGCTTGGGCCTGAAGACGATACCAGCCCTTGACTTGGCTGACTCCGATAGCTTATCAAGAGCAAAGGCAACAGCTGTTCCTATGGAATGTTTAGTGGCCAAGCTGATAAGTCTTAAACTAGGAGGAGATCCCTCGGAATGCGGAGAAAGATTCACAAGAAACACCAGAGGTCTTCAAAACTATAAATGACTTTTATAGCGTATCCTTGGCTTATGAAGTGGGATTCATATTAATGTGAACATTGCTTGGCTGTAAAATTTTTGGCCTTCCTAGCTCCCCCATCCTTTAGGGGCTTAGCCACAAGGAAACTAGCAAAGCCCCTGGGGGATGCTGTTTCGAAAGAGACTAGTTTCCAGCATTCTCTTTAGTATGTACTGGGGAGGTTGGAAGATTGATGGCTGCTGGGAGGGAAGGTCAAGTCAAGACAGGATTCCTGGCTGTATTGATTCCCAACTGGCCCTGCCTTTCCTCTGCTAGGAACAAACTCTTCTTCTGTGGTCTACCTTTCCAAAGCCCTCTGTCACCCCCTGTTGCTGGCTCATGCCCCCACTTTCAGTTTCAGAAACAATAGCAGGCAAAACAGCACACCGCAGAGGTGGTGGTTGGGGCGAGTGGGTTTCTGCCTAGAGCTCTGAGCAGGAAGCCCCACCAGAAGGTGGATGGAGGCAGGCGGGGATGGGAATACATAGTCTTTTGTCTGCTTGGGAGGAAAAGCCTCTTCTAATGCTCACACAGGGGGTTATAATGACCTAAAAATGCAGAGAAGGGAAAGGCTGCACTGTGACTGGGAGATTCAGGCCATGTGTGGGATGGTACCTGGTCTGAATACACCTCTGTGCAGAATGCTAAAGACAAACAGATTCCTCAGGATTCATGTTTAGATACTTCTCCATCTGTACGCTTTGTGGGCCAAGGGGGAAAGAGACCCCATTGTTGGAGCTGGACTGAGGCCACAAAATTCACATCTGTGGCTTTCAAACATCTATGGCTCCCACAAAGGAAAAGTTTGGGTGCACTCAGGTTTCCTGCTCAATCTACTACATACGCTCTCTGTCCAGGGTCTGTAGACTGGATTGGCAGGAAGAGACAATAATATAATCGTCCTATCCCTCTCTCCATCCCCCATAAGCATACCATTACACCACAAGGGACCTAGTCGTCTTTCAGCACTGGAAATCCTTTTATCACCCAGAAGCCAGAGATGATTTTCTTTAGCCCCTGAGTTAGTAACAATAAATCTAGCACCGAATCTGTGAGTGATGCCAGTAAGGACAGTGAGACTTCACATACGTACAGCTTCTGTCTCGAGAGGATCTAAAGGGCTTTAGAAACATTCTAGTGAACCAAGCCTCAAAAACATCCACGAGGTGGAATTATTATCATCATAACTGGGGAAACCGAGGCACGAAGAGGTTGCAAGTTGCCAACCACAGGTTAATTGAAGCGCCTGGAATAGAACCCTGGAGGGCTGAGTCAGCTTCCTCAAACCACTGAGTTATACTGCTGTCGAGATTCAAGTACAGGGTCAGGCCAGTGAAGGAGACAGACTTTCCTCAGAGCATCCTCCCATCTCCCCAGCTTCACTCACTGGTGCAATTCCAGACAAACACTTCATTAGAGTGGGAAAGAGCAGTGCCCAGAGGGCTTTGTCCTCTGGACAGGGAACAGCTGCTCCTATTATAAGGGGCCCAGTTGAACTTCTCTTGAAGTCAATGGAATCTTTCCTTTGGTTTTAATTGGAGTTGGATGGGGTCTGGGTTGCTTCTTGGCTCCTTGGAGCTCAGATCAAGTGTTGTATTAAACATTATTAATCAGACAGTCAGGAAGCTTGTGAGATGCTGCAGTATGTAATGCCACAGGAATCTCATCTCCAGTCATTAATGGCTCCTCATTGCAAAGCATGTGGCAGACACTTTATTAAAAAAATATTTTGACTGAAGAATAAAAACCAGCAAAGTTTCCAAATCTGGAAATAACTAGGTCAGGGTTCAGGAGAGCTGCGTTAACTTTAGGGATTTGAGCCTTTGTAATCACTTGAGTCACTTTCATTCAGTACTGAAACAGAAATCCAGAGATCAAAAACTGGATAGCGTCAAAGCGACATGGGCTGAAGGGAGCTCTGTGTGGGATGGTGGGGAAGAGGCGATGGCAGCTCCGACACAGAAGTGTGAGCCAGGTGGTGAGGGCAGGTTTCAGAGACGCTATAGAGGAAGTAGCAATGGGATTTGGTGAGAAGCTAGATGGTAGGAGCAGGCTGAGGCTCAAGGCTGATACTATGTGACAGGGAGGGTGGTGCAGTTGCTGATGAAAAGAGGAACCAGAGAGAAGGGAAGGTTTTGGAGGAAAGGAAAGATTATCAGTTGTGTCAGAGGTCAGAGAGGGAGCTCAATGTGTGGGAAATGGGCAGAAGCAGGGAGGTGTATGCAGGGCCGGCTCCAGCATTTCTGCCACCCCAAGCAAAAAAAAAAAGCCGTGATCGGCGGCGGCAGTTCGGCGGCAGGTCCTTCACTCCTAAAGGGAGTGAGGGACCTGCCGCCCCCGAATTGCCGCACGTGCTGCCCCTCTCCCTTGGCCGCCCCAAGCACTTGCTTGTTAAGCTGGTGCCTGGAGCCGGCCCTGGGTGTATGGTGCAGTGAGGTAAATTTCCAAGTCACCAACATAAAGGCGATGGCTGAAGCCCTGGGAGCAGCTGAGGTGACTGTGGGAGAAAGCCTGGAGGGAGGAGAGGAGCAGACTGATACCTGTATACAACAGTCCCCACCACAGCATTGGCATCTGAATAGGAAAATCCCCACGTTAGCTGAGCTGGATATTTCATTCGTTTCCCATGGCTTTCATGCATGTGCCCCAGCAATGCAATAGCCCTGCTCCCTGAAGCAGGGACTCAGAAACACCACCACCAACAGGGCTTTCTTTATTGTCCAGTCTGAAATGCTGGACAGAAAACAAAGAGGTGTGGAAAGTACTCCACTTAGGAGGAACAATCAGTTGCACACATACAAAATGGGAAATGACGGCCTAGGAAGGAGTACTGCGGAAAGGGGTCTGGGGGTCATAGTGGACCACAATCTAAATATGAGTCAATGTAACACCGTTGCAAAAAAAGCCAACATCATTCTGGGATGTTTATAAGCAAGGCACAAGAAGTAATTCTTCTGCTCTACTCCTCGCTGATTAGGCCTCAACTGGAATATTGTGTGCAGGTCTGGGCGCCACATTTCAGGAAAGATGTGGACAAACTGGAGAAAGTCCAGAGAAGAGCAACAAAAATGATTAAAGGTCTAGAAAACATGACCTATGAGAAAAGATTGAAAAAATTGGGTTTGTTTAGTCTGGAAAAGAGAAGACTGAGAGGGGTTTACAAGTACATAAAAGGTGTTACAAGGAGGAGGGAGAAAAACTGTTCTTAACCTCTGAGGATAGGACGAGAAGCAATGGGCTTAAATTGCAGCAAGGG